TATGTACAGTACTGCATTGTGAATGGACGTGAGCAGTGCTCACTGAGCACACGTACGGAATCCATACCTACGAGTGGTACTTTCGTCATCAAAGAAGAGCGTTTTTATCCATTTTAAAGAATGGTTAAAACTTCATTCTCAAACTTGCTTCGAGCATCGCAACGAAGTCGCAAAGCATCGCTTAGCCTCCTTTGAAGTGAAATGCGCAACTCTGTCCTTCTCTTCGCTCTCGCCTTCGTTATTTTTGCCTGCGGCAACGCGCTCACAGCAACCGAAGACGGTATTCAGCTCAAGATGCCGCAGTCAGAGCTGCATCAAGCCGCTCAGTGGAACGTCGGTGGCAAGCGCTTACTTCGGGCTAACGACGGCACGAACGCAGACGAGGAAGAGAGAGGAATGGCGGAGTTCACAACGAAGATGAAGACGTGGGCACAGAGTTTCAAGACATGGGTTACCAACTCGAAGCTGGTTCAAATGGCGAACACGAAATTCCAGTCGTTGTCTCAGAAATGGAGGATATCAAATGTCGAGCAAATGATTAGGAAGGGTGTGTCGGACACGGTGTTGTTTGAGAAAAAGGTCACTCCTGATGAATACTTCCTGGCGCTGAAGCTGGACCCGAAGCTGAAATTGGTCTCGGATTCGCCGGTCATTAGAGAGCAGAACCCCGGTCTGCTTAAGTTTTTCGCTTACACTGACTATTACAACACCAAGATTGTTGCTGTGTAAAACTGGAAGCAGAGACACTACGTTGCAGTGGTAACAACAGGTTGTGTGATTGGCAGTTTGATAGGACAACCTTTACCACCTGCTTGACCAAACCACGGATATCACGAAATTCGCTTGTTCGAGCGACCCAAATGAAGAAGGAGACCTTGCGCTAGCCATGCGAGAGCTCGTCGATATGGCAAAAGGTGCAGCGACGGACCCCGATGTTGTGAAAAGTATCAGGGCGCCGTTGAAGCGTGGATATGCCAGCGCTTTACGTGGGCTGAGCGGGGGACCGCACCAACTACTATTCCCATGTCACCTTCGAGTTTCTGGAAGATTCATCGTCGTGCTGCGTTTCCGCTGCTTAAACCAGTGGCTGATATGATGTTTGCAATCCCAACTTCGTCCGCATCCAGTGAGCGATGTTGGAGCATTCACGGATTTATCCATTCTAAGAGAAGAAACCGGTTGCACGCATCGAAAGTGGAGCAACTTGTGTTCATCTACTCGAACCTTGCATCTAGTACAGGCGAACCAATTCGAGATGATTTGGCTGATGACATGTACCCCGACGCACACGACGGAGATCTGGATGGGCAGGACGACGAACGCATCGATGACGATGAAGATTCCGATGAGATCATGCAAGCGATGTCGGATATTGGATAAACAGGATGTCTTGGATAAATATCTTCTACTATAAATGGCTTCATCAAACCTGCTTGTTGCGTTTGCTTATCAGTACTTGCATCCCTCTCGAAGTTCTCCACCTTCGTTTTGTCCGCGATCTTCACCGTCTGGTTGTCCTCCTCCACGTCATCATCGA